ACATGACTACTGGAAAAACCATAGCCTTGACTAGACGGACCTTTGTTGGCAAAATGTCTCTGCCTTTTTAATATGCTGTCTAGGTTGGTCACAGCTTTTCTTCCAAAGAGCAAGCATCATTTAATTTCATGGCTGCAGTCACCATGTGCAGTAATTTTGGAGTCCAAAAAAATAGTCTCTCACTATTTCCACTGTTTCCCCATCTATTTACCAGGAAGTGATGGGACCAGATGTCATGATCTTAGTTTTCTGAATGTTGAACTTTAAACCAACTTTTTCACTCTCCTCTTTCACTTTCATCAAGAGGCTCTTTAGTTCTTCTTCACTTTCTGCCATAAGGATGGTGTCATCTGCATATCTGAGGTTATTGATATTTCTCCCAGCAATCTTGATTCCAGCTTCTGCTTCATCTGGCCCAGTGTTTCTTATGATATACTTTGCTTATAAGTTAAATAAGCAGGGTGACAATATACACCCTTGACATACTCCTTTCCCTATTTGGAACCAGTCTGTTATTCCATGTCCAGTTCTAACTGTTACTTCCTGACCTGTATACAGATTTCTCAAGAGGCAGGTCAGGGGGTCTGGTATTCCCATCTCTTTCAGAATTTTCCAGTTTGTGGTAATCCGCACAGTCAAAGGCTTTGACATAGTCAATAAAGCAGAAATAGATTTTTTTCTGGAATTCTCTTGCTTTTTTGATGATCCAACGGATGTTGGCAATTTGATCTCTGGTTCCTCTGCCTTTTCTAAAACCAGCTTGAACATCTGCAAGTTCACTGTTCATGAATTGTTGTAGACTGGCTTGGAGAATTTTGAGCATTACTTTACTAGTGTGTGAGATGAGTGCAATTGTGCAGTAGTTTGAGCATTCTTTGGCATTGCCTTTCTTTGGGATTGGAATGAAAACTGACCTTTTCTAGTCCTGTGGCCACTGCTGAGTTTTCCAAATTTGCTGGCATATAATAATAACAAGAGAGGTGAGGAAAAAATAATTGGGCAAATTGTGAAAAAAAAAGATTTAACTGATAGTCCAAAGGGTTAAAGTACTGGCTGATTAAATTCCAAGTGAATATTACTTTATAAGAGTTCCAAATGACTTCCACTTGCATAAAAAAGAAAGAAATTGAAGAAGGCAGAGCTTGAGCTGCTTCTTGAATGGGAAACTGGACGTGAGCAGGTGAATAGGTAGAGAGGAGGAAGGAGAGGAGGGTGGAAGATGCTGGCCAGGGTCATTGCGCACACGCTTTCTCCCTCCCTCTCTAGGTGTGTGACCCGACCCTTCTCTACCTCAACTTCCTGGTGAAAATAGCAATACCCTCATACCCATAAGTAGGCTCTAGAAGATAGTGATGGACAGGGAAGCTTAGCATGCTGCAGTCCATGGGGTCACAAACAGTCAGACGTGACTTAACAACTGAACAACAACAATACCCATAAGGGGCTTCCCTGGTGGCTCTGAAGGGAAAGAATCTGCCGGAAATACCCATAAACCCTAAATCGTAGTGTTGTAGTGAAATGTAAACACAATAACATATAAAACACTCAGAGTAGAACTTGGGACATAGTGCTCAATAAATGTTAGCCATTGTTAGTATTTCAAGGAAGGCTACAGGTCATAATGGAAAATACAAGACTTACTCTCAAGAGACAGAAAGGAAAGGAAATTTGCCTACTGGGCAATGTTTGTTCAAGGGAGTTAGTAAGAGAAACCTGTATGCAGGTCAGGAAGCAACAGTTAGAACTGAACATGGAACAACAGACTGGTTCCAAATAGGAAAAGGAGTATGTCAAGACTGTATATTGTCACCCTGCTTATTTAACTTATATGCAGAGTACATCATGAGAAACGCAGGGCTGGAGGAAGCAGAAGCTGGAATCAAGATTGTCGGGAAAAATATCAATAACCTCAGATATGCAGATGACACCACCCTTATGGCAGAAAGTGAAGGTGAACTAAAGAGCCTCTTGATGAAAGTGAAAGAGGAGAGTGAAAAAGTTGGCTTCAAGTTCAACATTCAGTAAACTAAGATAATGGCATCTGGTCCCATCACTTCATGGCAAATAGATGGGGAAACAGTGGAAACAGTGGTTGACTTTATTTTTCTGTGCTCCAAAATCACTGCACATGGTGACTGCAGCCATGAAATTAAATGATGCTTGTTTCTTGGAAGAAAAGCTATGACCAACCTAGGTGGTATATTAAAAAGCGGAGACATCACTTTGCCAACAAAGGTCCATCTAGTCAAAACTATAGTTTTTCCAGTAGTTGTGCATGGATGTGAGAGTTGGACTATAAAGAAAGCTGAAGAATTGATGCTTTTGAACTGTGGTGTTGGAGAAGATTCTTGAAAGTCCCTTGGATTGCCAGGAGATGCAACCAGTCCATCCTAAAGGAGATTAATCCTGGGTGTTCATTGGAAAGATTGATGTTGAAGCTGAAACTTCAATACTTTGGCCACCTGATGCAAAGAACTGACTCATTTGAAAAGACCCTGATGCTGGGAAAGACTGAAGGCAGGAGGAGAAGGCAACAACAAAGATGAGATGTTTGGATGGCATCACCAACTCAATGGACATGAGTTTGAGTAAACTCCAGGAGTTGATGGATAGGGAGGCCTGGTGTGCTGCAGTCCATGGGGTCACAAAGAGTTGGACATGACTGAGAGACTGAACTGAACTGCATACTTCTTTCCTTCCACAGCCAGGTTTACGATAAGGTAAATGAGGTGCTGTCCTGGGGAGCAAAATTTAACATGGCTCTAGAAACTTCAAGTCATCAATATAAATGATATTTTGATGCCCTATGTCTAAAAAATCAAAATCAGTGCAAAATATCTATGATGGACAATAAGAATTTTATAATCTTGTCAATTTATGCAAAAAAGGAACATGGGTTTTTAACAAGGATTGCCTTGAATCTGTAGAACAATTTGGGGAGTTTTGCCATCTTGACAGTCTTAAGTCTTCCAATTTGTGAGCTTTCAATGTCTCTCCACTTGTCTAGGTCTTTAGTTTCTTTCAACAGTGTATTGTAGTTTCCAGTGTACAAGTCTTTCACTTCTTTTGCTAAATTTATTCCTTAGTATTTTTTCTTTTGGATGCTCTTGTAAATGCAATTGTATTCTTAATTTCATCTTGGGTTGTACGTTGCTAGTGTTTAGAAATAAGTGCTTGTGTCTCTCTATTCTGTGTCCTACAGCCTTGCTGACCTCACTTATTAGCCCCAATAGCTTTTTTGTTATTGTTGATTCCTTATGATTTTCTATATACAAGGACATGTCATCAGTGAAGAAAGATGGTTTTGCTTCAAAAAAATCTATGATGCACAAAATACAAAAATTTTAAACAGAGATAGGACTGGACCTGCCTTTCCTGACTCAGCCTTTCCTAGTTCCAGCCCTGCTTCTTACTTTATAAGAGTTTGGCCCAGTTCAGTGGTGCAGTGATAAAGAATCTGCCTGCAATGCAGGAGACGCACAGTTGGTCCTTAGCTTGGGAAGATCCCCTGGAGAATGAGATGGCAACCCACTCTAGAACTCTTGCTTAGAGAAATCCATGGAGAGAGGAGCCTGGTGGGCTACAGTCCAGAGAGTCCCAAAGAGTTGGACATGACTGAGCACCTAGGTACACACGAAGCTTACATGCCAGAACTTAGGGAGAGAAAAGAGAGAAAAGAAGAAATGAACAAGGCAGTAGGTCCAAGCTTCTAAGAGCACTATGATATGGAAAAGAGATTGTCAGATTTGGTGTCAGAGAAGCCTGGGATGAAATCAGGATTTATTGGTTGGGTTTCTCTGGGTTAGTTTCTTAACTGAGCCCTCACTTCAGTCTCTTTACCTGTAAAATGGGTCCAATATGACCCCCGTGGTGAAAGGTTGGAACAGAAGTAGTGATGTCTGTGAAGAGGGGTCCAGGCCAGCTAACCACTCGGCCTTTCTTACCCCAGTAGATTTGGGAGCTAAGCAGGGCGCAAGGGGATTGAGAGGAGCCCCTGCTGCTCTACTGGGGGACCTGACAATACAGCGCCACCCCCACTTCTGCCTAAAGAGTCTAAACAGCCCACTCAGTCAGTAGTGGGGAGCATAGGTCTCCGTCCTCGAGGGCGGGCCCGGTGAGTTTACTGCACAAAATCTACAGAAGCAGAGAAAGAATACACCGCCGTGGGAGGCAAGGCCAAGGACATCAGCTAGAACAAGAGCCTTGCAGAACCATCCTCGGCACTCAAGCTGGCCACCCTGGCCAGGAATTCCCAGGCTCTTCAGAAACCACTGGGCTCCGCAGGGTAGGGGGGCTGTGTGAGTTCTGCCTTCCTTTGGGGCCCATTTTTCGTCTCTTAGATTTTACAAAAGAAACCAAGACCCACCACCACCAGCACCACCAGTTCCCACCCTGGAAAAGCCTTGGGCAAGTCTGAGCACTGAGAGACCCCAGGGAAAGAGTCATACGGGGCAGGATCAGAGGGCGCAGGGCTGATAAACTCACATAATCGGCTGATAAATGGCCCCGGAAGCGGGAGCGGGAGACGCCACACCAACAAAGGAACTGATGATACACGTGGCTAGTGAACACTTTTCCTTGGACATTGAGTCATTTTATTAGACAGTGCAAAACAGCAAGTGTACATACACAGAAGTGGAAAAGAATCCACACAGGCAGGAAACACCAAAATGACCCAAATTTGGGCCTGAAAGGGTTGAAAGATTAAACAACACAATCAAATATCCTAACGTTTATTTGTAAATGAGGGTTCTTTGCAAACTTGGGCTTCGCCCAGCTGTCTTGTCATCAATTCTTTGCAGTCTATTTGTTTCCTGCTGTGATGTGTGGTTTGTGAGCAAAGGAAGATCTTAGAAGGATGAGGCATGGGGCACACGAAGGAGAAGAAAAGCTGGTGACGAAGGTTTTAGAGGAAAGAGACGGACCGAAGAGGATGAAGTAGCCTTACCAGCAGGAGAGGGTGTGTCCTCCGCAGCTCCTGGGTGGAGCCGGGCGGTCACCTAGTGGCAGCATTGCTTCTGGCAGCAGCACTTCTGCTGGTAACAGCCCTTCCCACCCCCGCAGCCACATGAGCTGCAGCTGCAGGTGTGGCGGTGGCAGCAGACCACGGGGACGCTGCAGCAGCCCCCACAGCAGCCGTAGCAGCAGGGGCAGCAGCTGGTGCAGCAGCCCACCCGGTAGCATCTGCAGCTGTTGCAGCTGCCGCAGCCCCCGCCGCAGCCCCCGCCGCAGCCCCCGCCGCAGCCTCCGCCGCAGCCCCCGCCGCAGCCACCACAACTTCCACAACCACAGCAGCCCATGGTGTCAGTAGAGAGGACTCAGGAGAAGTGAAGAGCGAGACTCAGGAGGTCAGGGAGGTCTGATGTCACCTGCCAGAGGCGACCCTTATATATCAGCCCTGGGGACAGGAGAGGGAAGACACGTGACCACTTCCTTGGAATTGTTTGTTTCCATTTCTCTAGGAAAACCTCTTCCTCCTCCTGCTCATTTTCCTTCTAGACACCTTTCATCTCATTAAGTCACATCTCTTCAGTTTAGCTAAATTTACTTTTGTTTCACCCAATGAAAGCATTTAGGAAAGGACCGTCCCTGTTTTCAAATACAGCCAGTGTTAGCATAGGTGAACTGGGAATACCTTCCTGCCCACTGGCATTTTCCTTAGTCACTAATATTTTCCCAGAGGAATCGTGTATTTCCCGTCACCTCTCCAGGGAGAACTCCTAGGGGTCCTTTCAGTAGGAGAAAGACAGTACAGAACCTTAAATAAAGAAGGTAACTTTCAACATGGCTGTTGCCATTTTCAGTCTGAAAGTTATAGATCCACGTATGTATAAACTAGTGGATATGCCTGTTTCTCTAACCTGGGATAGAAGCTCTGATTGCAAACGGTGAACTCGCTCAGCAAATTATAAAAATCACCCTCTCTGTGGGGAAGCCCAGATCCACCTACAGGACCTCCTAACCCTCACATTTCTGTCATGTAATTAATGCTTCTTGCATGAGTCACATGTGTAGGTTCAGTCTTAATCACAGAGCAGGTGACGAGACAACCGTGATGAGAGTTCAGGAGCCCTAGGAAACTCCTCTGTCCCCCAGAAGACCCCCCCTCTGATGGCTGACTTCAGCAGGTCAGCTCAGGACTTACTAGATCCTTGGCTACAGAAGGGCTATACTCAATGTTGAAAAAAAGAGTGGACGTATTAGTCGCTCAGTCCTGTCTGACTCTTTGCGACCCCATGGACTATGGCCTGCCAGGCTCCTCTGTCCATGGGATTCTCCAGGCAAAAATACTGCAGTGGGTTGCCATTTCCTTCTCCAGGTGATCTTCCTGACCCAGGGATCCACCCCATATCTCCTGCATTGCTGGCAGATTCTTTACGGTCTGAGACACCAGGGAAGATCCCATACTCAACACTGTGCTTCCCAAAATGTGTTTGGTAGAACACTAGTTCCACAGGATGTTAAAACTTACAACAACACAGAAAAAGATCCAGTTATGTTTGAAAAGTAATCCATTTAAAGAAAGCTAACCGGATGTTTCAACTACAGATCTTCTCAGAGCTTCAGTGGGTCATGTGACTCTCAGCAGAGCAAACCTACTAGACCACCGAGCCTACTTTCATGCTAGAAAGCCCTGCTTTCCTTCACTCCTCAGGTGAGAGAGCTCCCAGGACAGTCCCAAGTCTAGATTCTTATGGTGAATTTAGAACACACAGTGAACACGGGGAACAGAAAGAGTAGAACAGCGATTCTCAAACTTTTTGGTCTCGGGATCCATTATACTCTTAAAAACCACCTAGGACCCCAAAGAGCTCTTGTTGTATGACTGGCATCTATTACTACTTACTATATTAGAAATGAATACTAAGACATTGTTAATACTTAATTATGAATTCATTTTAAAAGAACAATATAATCCCATTACTTGTTCACATAAAATAACACATTTTGGGGACAAAAACACTTTCCAAACAAAGAAAAGTATTTAGTGAGCACAGTGGCATTTGTTTTATCTTTTTGCTGATCTCTTTGAGGTCTGGCTTAAAAGATGGCTTAGAGTTGGCTGGGCAGTCACATCTACTTCTGTGTTGACTCCATCATACTATGTTGTTCTTGTTGAAGTAAATAAAGAAAACTCGGTCTCACACAGTCAGGCAGTTGAAAAAGGAAGATAATCCAAGGATCCCAGAATCACACTTCAAGGACTGCTAGAGCAAAGATTCAGAAACTTAGTAAACAACCTACGTAAAAACGTTCCCAACTACTGATTTTTGCTTCATCAAGGATACATCTTTATGCCACTTTTTGGAATTTTAATGCTTCTATATTAAAATAGTTACTACATGCTGCCATATTTTCTAGCAGCATTTCTAACAGTATTTCCTAATGCATTTCCCACTCAATAATCCTGTGATTGTCTTTGTCTTTAAAATAAAGCTGAGATACACCAGCAGAGCATTTAGCGCCCTCAACAATCTGATTTCAATTGGCCCTTACAGCCAAATCCTCTGTCCAGAGCTCAAGGGGGACACAAGATTATCAGAGAAGAGAGAGGCTGGAAATTAACACCATCACTGACAGGCTTCCCTGATAGCTCTGTTGGTAAAGAACCTGCCTGCAATGCAGGAGACCCTGGTTCGATTCCTAAGTCAGGAAGATTGGCTGGAGAACGGATAGGCTACCCACTCCAGTATTCTTGGGCTTCCTATGTAGCTCAGCTGGTAAAGAATCTGCCACAATGCAGAAGACCTGGGTTTGATCCCTGAGTTTGGAAGATCCCCTGGAGAAGGCTACCCACTCCAGTATTCTAGCCTGGAGAATTCCATGGACTGTATAGTCCACGGGGTTGCAAAGAGTCAGACAAGACTAAGTGACATTCATTCACTCACTCACTGGAATAATAGTTAATCTTCATGGTATAAGCACTAGGTACTGAACACAGTACTAAGCACTTATAAATGTAACTGAGCAGGTTCTTAAGACTTCCTGGAACAGACCTCCACCCCATGTCCTCCACTTGTCTCTTGTATAGCAGAAAAGCTTTAGTCTCTCAGGCGTCCAAGAGTTAATGATTAGAAGGATGTGAACACGTAGGAACAAAAGACAGCAGTTGGATCAGGAGAAGGATCACAATTTAAACAGTAGATCAGCCATATCACAGAGTCACAGAATCCTTAGTTCCTACCTGAAGGATATAGATAAGAGGGTCTGATGCACATATCTGAGTTCTGCAGCCACTAAAACTACCACCAGAAGGAAAAGGCTAACTTCATGATGAACAGACTGTAGCCATAACATAAGCTGCTCCATCCTGAGCAGTACGGAATCTGAGGCTTGCACAATTCCAAGAACTGACCTCAAGGAAATGGACACAGACCAACCTTGGAGTTAAAGATCAACTGCACTTAAAACAAGCAAGATGACGCTGACCATCATGTGAGTTTCAGGATGACTGTTGGAGCTGACCATGCTGTTCTGCACGTAGCCCCTGCCTACATTCCCCTGAAACTTCCTGATTTTCCCTTTTCCCGCTAATGGGGAATTTGAAGATGGTTTGGGGGACACTAGTGCAACATCTCTCCAGGGTTGCCTACTTCCTAAATAAAGCATCTCTCTTTTCCATCAACCCTTGTCTCTTGAACATTGACTTTTGAGCAGAGCAGCCAAGCTTGAGTTTGATTCCGACTCCAGCCAGTGACAGAAATGAAACGGGAGACAAAAGCAAGGAAACAGGCAGGACTCAGGCAGTAACACACGCACGAAGGAACAGTGTCAGCAAAGCAAAGGTGGCGAAGGCAGGGCAACACTAGATCACGCCTGTGACGCAGATCTTTTCCCTCCCATGAAAGAAACACCCCAGCCACATGGTCACACCTTGAACTTCGATACTCCCATACATCCCTTGTGGCTGTGCTTTTAGCTGAAAATGCCTTATTCCACCATCAAAATTCTACTCATTTCTAAAGATGCCTTTTTTGTCCATCTGTTTTGATTGTAGCTCCGTGACATTCTAACAAAGGAAGGGAAGAATGAGAGCAGGGAAAATGGGAGGAAATGCTGTTGTCATAGGAGAGGCAGGAGAGACAGGAGTTAAGGTCTATTAGCACCACTGCCATCGTGAATGGCATTCTCACCACACACACACACACACACACACACACACACACACAAGGTAACTATGCAAGGTGATGGATGTATTAATTAACTTAATTATGGTAATCATTTCATAATATATGCATATACTAAATCACATCATATATCTTAACTATAAATAACACCTGATTTTTTTAATTATATCTCAATAAACCTAGAAAAAATATTTGTTCCAAGGAGATTGATATGTTAGGGAAAGATTTGAGTACAATGCAAATTTTGTGTTTGCTTATGTGGGATTCTATGCCTGACAAACACCAGGTAAATGCAAAAAGCTGCACCCAGCTAAGACACACATGCGCACACATATACTTCAAACAACCACCAGCTACCTGTGTGTCCTATGGGTTAAGAGCATCACTCATCTACACCTGCAAATACAACTTTCCCTCCCATTTTGGATACACCCTCTTGCACCACTCAACAATAACACAGGCTGCAATCTTTCTCAGGGCCACTTCCAAAAGCAAACTTAAGGTCTTTTTCAAGGTAAAGTACCATATTTATTGTGCTTTCCTCGTGGCTCAGCAGTAAAGAATCCGCCTGCAATGCAGGAGATGTGGGCTTGATCCCTGAGTCGGGAAGATCCCCTGGAGAAGGGAATGGCTACCCACGCCAGTATTCTTGCCCGGAGAATCCTATGGACAGAGGAGCCTGGTAGGCTACACTCCAGGGTCACAAAAGAGTAGGACATGACTTACTGACTAAACAAACAAAAGACCTGTTTATTATGGGATTTATACTTTTTAAACATATAACGTGTAAAAACTGTGCACAATTTTTATTGTTTCAACTCTGTAAACAAGTCACTGATGAAGTTTCTGAGTGCTCTTCCCCAATCCCATAGCCCTGTGGTTTTTACTGCATGATCTTGTGGAGTGCCACACTGTGTAAGAACACCTATGTTGTGTTACAGCCGAACTGTGAGTACCGAAAACCATCTCAGCAGTGAGCACACCTAGCACCTAGATCTTGGATTCTAAATACAAATCTCCAATAAAAGAGCCAGACTCTTTGGAGAAATCACTGATTTCAGATCTGAGGCTGGGAAGGGATGAAACAGACCTTGAACATTTTGTGCTGGACCCTAAGTGAGTGCTCAAAAAATAGTGGAGGTATTTAAAAAGCTACAGAGGCCAGCTTGCAG